GGCTCTCGTGGCCTCCTAGAGGTTAAGGTGTTCGCCTCTCATTCAAAGGTCCTGGGGTTGGAATCTGGGTAGCGACAGGAAATTTTTCTTCTTTAAAATTGTCCCTTTTCAACTCCTTTCCTGCTCTCTAGCAATGTTCTGTTATCTGCTTTCGTCTTCACTTTCTGCCCCCTCCTTTCTGCAGCCTTTCAATTGCCTATCTTTGGTCCCTTCTTACTGCCGTCTTTCAGCCACGCCCCTGATCTTCTGGTAGGAAAGATCTACACCTAGCCTTCTTGGACAAGGGCAAAAAGTCTTGGAGGCCCCGTGTGCAAGCTGCGCACGTCAAAGATCCCTTCGTGTTCTAAAATCGATAAGAGTAGGCTTCGGCCGTCACCCGGGCAAAATTCAAAATTCCCAACTGACTCAAAATGTTAAATGGTCCCACGCGCTCATATGACCTTATGCAGTTGTGAGCGCCTTAAAACGCTTACCAAAAAAAAAAAGGGGGGAGGGGGGCGGAGGCACGGCAAGTGTCACCAAAGTACAAAAGTCAAAATGGAAAAAATTATTTAATGGTGTTTTGCTGTTACTTTAAGTTGATTTCGCAATGTTCTGTCTATTTCTATTATATGGACGTACAACCTGTTCTTGGCGTGGATGACGATATTGGCCGTCCATTTTCTTTCTTTTTTTTGTTTTTTTTTTGTTTTGTTTTGGGGTTTGTGTGTGTGTGTGTGTGTGTGTGTTTTGGAGACATGTAATGTGTTTCTTCTTTTATTTTAGGCACTGCTTCAGACAAAGCCTCTCGTGTTATCTCCCACTAGATGCAATTATTTTTTTTTTTCAGTCCTGTTCACGTCACCAAGTTCCTAGATGACCAGTTTCGCATCTTCTCCGGCGCGAATGATAAAACTGTTCGTGTCTGGGACATCCCCACAGAGAAGGAGATCCACATTTACCAAGACCATCAGGTGAGTTGTCCTGAATAGCTACTCTTGTAAGATAGCAAGCAATAGACGATACACACGAAAAAGACTTCTCAATGATATCGGGCATCAACGAGCCTACTTGTTGAAATTGTGATTGTGAAAGCACATAGTTTCAAATGTACCTACCCTTTTTTACGATGCTATTATGTACTATTTAGGTACTGTTTGCGTCAGTGTGTCAACTGTACTCGAAGATAGGTGCTAGACTTTGTGAATTTAATCTTGCACCTTTATACTCTTCTCATGTATGCATGTACATTTTTATGTCTGCTTGCCTGTCTTCTCCCCTCTGTGTTAATTTGTCTGTCTGTCTGTCTTTTTTTTTACTCTCCCTCTCTCTGTCACTCTTTCCTTCTCTTTTTGTTTATAACACACTGTGTCTGTCTCTGAGTCTCTGTCTGTATGTATGTCTTTCTGTCTGTCTGCCTGCCCCCCCTCCCCCCCTCTCTCTCTCTCTCTCTCTCTCTCTCTCTCTCTCTCTTCGATTTCTGCTTAAGTAATATTACCAACTCAAGAACATTGACTTAGTTTCGGCGGTAGTCTTAGGGACAATGTGCTGAATAACCTCGCAAGGTCAATGCATAAATTATAACATTATGTTTGCATTGGATCCCGAAAGCTATTATCATGAGGTCTACAGTTTAGGATGTCGTTCTAAAGCTGCTGCTGCGGCTGCTGCTACTGCTGCTGCTACTACTACTACT